GTTAGGGCGGCCGTTAGGGCGGTGTCCTGGGGTGGGGGGTGGCGAGGAGGAGCTTGTCTTTAGGGAATTGGTGGGTGGCACCGGCAAGGCGTTTCGCGAGGACGAGACGAGAGAGTTCAGGGTTTGGGTCCCGGACAGCTTGATGAAATCTAGTAATGCAGTATCGTGTTTAGGAAGGGAAAATCGGGAGGGTGAGCCGCAATCTATCAGAAGACTACCTGTGGTTAAAGAGGACTACAAACAGCAGGAGTTCCCTTTAGTTTGATAATTACTGCGGGGGAGGGAGCTTTTTTTTATGCGTGTGCGCAGTATGAAGCACATAACAGATCTTACGTTCACCACTACTTACAAGCTTGTGAGCGGTACCACAGGTGCTGCTTTCCTAAATAAAACTGTTAGTCAAGTGAAACAGGTTGGATCGGGCTGGTACTTACCGAAGCAAAACTGTGCTGTTTCTGAACCATGCTGGTAAGTTCAGACCGAGTAATAGTGGGCATACTTACTAACAAAGATTTCTGCCCAGAGTTTGGTTACGTGGCTTGACGTGCCATGCAAGGTGTGTAGCGAAGCGTTTTATTCACCTTCCCGCGAAGGGAAACTCAAATACGCACTGTGCTGTTTCTTTTCCTTCTCTCTTGCAAAACTAGATTGTAATATATTCTTCAAAAAATCTCTCCCCAAAATGCATTAAACGGGAAGAGTTTGTAGTTGTGCAGAAGTATTTCCTTAAATATCAATCTAGACTTTTTCCAGGTGATGGAGATTGTTATTCATGGTTTTCTGATCTCTTGAAAAGAGTGAAACCTAATAGCTTTATCCAAGTTTTGAAATATTTCTGCTTTATTACTTTAGTACAATTACCGCCACGTAAACATGCTTTTACTACTTAGGCTTTTAGTTCTTAACTTTAAATGTTTTAGCTCTTCTTGTTGTTAAGCTCTACCCCAACTGTTCCTAGCTAAATGTGTTGACTTCTTTCAAAAACAAATAAATAAACCCTCTCTTCATCATGCTGCGCAAATATGTTTTTGCTTTTGTCTATGGAACAGAGCTCTGCTTTTAAAAGCAGAAGTAGTGCAGGACAATGCCTGCTATCTTCTCCTCCCTTAATATCGAGGAGGGCTGGCTTTAATACTTCTGGTTGCAACTGATGCTGTGTTATGGCTAGAGAAGATTCTCTAGGTAGACTGCTTCCAGATGACTGCACGTCCTGCGCATTGGTTCCTGATTAAGGCTGTTGGCTCAGAGATCAAGGCTGCAGCTGAAGATTTAGGCGAATACTTGCTCTTGATGACTTACTAAAATTTAATGTATGTTGTGGAGTTCTGGAGTGGAATACTCTAGTGATGAGTATATATTTTGTTATGTATAGATTTGTTTTTTTAGAAAGCGTAAACTTATAAAATAAGGTCACTAGCCTTTTTTTTGGGGGGAGGGGGAGGGTTCCAAATTCTATCCTAGTTATTGTTAAAAGCAAATACAGCAGTTTAAATATAGATTTTAAAAAAGCTTCTGGGAAACCAACTTATAAATGGTATTGATTTACTTTAGTGTTTTTACAAGTCTATTTTAAGTTCATAAGTTAAGGTCAATAATTAGTGTTTAAGTAAAATGTTTCAAGGCCACACACCCTTCCAGATCAAGACCTTTGATCCAAATGAGCAGTGCTCAGCAGTCACGAAGTTTTGTGTTTTCTTTCTCTGTAGAAATGTTCACTTCACAAGAATAAGTTATAATATAATCTCTTTCAGTTAGAATTTTTTTCCATTATATTTTATTGTTTAGTATACTTATGCTTCTGAGACTGTATAAACAACAAATGAGTATGATACAATTATTATTTTTTTTTTTATAAGATAGACCTCAAAAATGACGAGGTTCACTGGTGTAGTTCTGGTACTATGTTGAAGTAGAACCTATGGCATCCCGGTTTGACTTTTTTAATGACTTTCTCTCATCCAAAAAGAAACACAAATGACTGCTGTGTGATATAACTAAACTTTCCAATTATTGTGTTTTTAAGGCAAGGTAATCTTTAGAAAATACTTGGCCATGGGAGAACAAAAATCTGTCACTAACCTTAGACTGTTTGTTGGCTTTGACCATTGACTGAAGGAGAGCATGTGTTTTCTATAAAAGATCTTAGCGCGGAATGCGGTCTTCAGTTTGTCTTCTAATTTGTTTGATCAAATAGCCCAATGTGATCATATCTGATAACTAGTTGGTACTGTCTTGCAGCACAGTATGTGTACTGGAGATGCAGAAGCCACGACGTAGCAGAAAGCTTTGAGCTGTTACAAATTATCAGTTTCTACTAACAGCAGTAAAAACTGAAGAATGCAGGCAACTGGATTTATTTCCCTATGGACGTTGATTTCACTGCTTTGTGGCCAGTTAGCAAATACTGGAGAACATGAAGATGTAGTAAAGCATGCAATAAAGTTGCATCGTGGGAAAGGAGCTGTTGTTACTCAGAGAAAGCAATGGGTATTGGAGAGCTGCAGAAAACTCTCTGGCCTCCTTCGCCAGAAGAACGTTGTGCTCAACAAACTGAAAAACGCTATAAGAGCAGTGGAGAAGGATGCAGGCCTCTCAGATGAAGAGAAACTCTTTCAGGTGCATACCTTTGAAATTTTCCAAAAGGAGCTAAATGAAAGTGAAAATTCAGTCTTTCAGGCGATCCACGGTCTCCAGAGAGCTCTACAAGGTGATTACAAAGATGTTGTAAATATGAAAGAAAGCAGTAGACAGAGACTGGAAGCCCTGAGAGAAGCTGCAATTAAGGTTAGTTTTTTGTCCTGTTGTTTATTACTAGAATAGTACTATTCTACTCGTGCTTTTAAGTTTGTTATGATATGGTTTCAGTCTGTATTGATGAAAAAGTTGATTTACACAACGCTTGCAATATTTTACCATTTAAAATGGATCTTGAGCAAAGTTGGAAGCATTCGTACTCTTAAATAGAGCTCTGGAATAGAGTTTAAAATTCAGTCAAAATCAATAGTTATTGCAAAGCAAAGCTGAAGATGTTCACAAGGCTTATGGAAAAGGCATGAGAAGTGGGTCAGTGCACATAGCACAATTGTAATATGTAGAGCTCAGTGGGATTATCTGAAAGAATAGAGTGACTACTAATTGGCAAAATAGTAATGCCACTTTAAATGGGAATCCTCAGCCAAGGTTGACAATTTAAACGGAATGACTTCTTGCCTTTATTTCCCTATTTGTATAGATGTGGGTAAAATGGATGTGCAGAAAATGAGATGACTGCTTGAGATGACAGTACTTATAGCCTCTCAAGTGCAAATTTCAAAAGTAGCGTTTCCAAGAAAAGTTGAAAAAACTGAGATTGTTTTACCAAGAAAATCACAGATGAGTAACAGCAGAGCATAAGTACTTTGCAGAGAGTTTGGGTCCCCATGTCGGTGCAGACCTGTTAGGGCTTGCACAGTCTGCCACTGTCTGCTGCACTTGGTAATGCTCAGAGTGTGTATTGAACATCTCCCATTCAGAGAGAATGTTTTAAAATTGACTTGGTATTTAAATTGTTCTTTTCATAGCCTCTGCCCTCAAACTGAAGGAAAACATGAAAGATTCTCTCTCTGCCTCTCTCTACCCCGTAAAGAAGAGGCTGTTCTTGTGAAAGTGAGCAAAAGATGGAAAGGATGTAATTGGAGTATAATATTTGAGCTAGGAGAATCTAGAAGGGGTATTTGTGTGGGAAACCTTGCAGCCTTAACAGGTGAAGATGGCAAGAGACTCTTTTGTGTAAGAGCGGGGTACAGTAAATTATGATGGGAGCAGAAGTTAAGATGTATGCTTGTGAGACTGGAGTAGTCTATGCTGTGAATGCAAAAACTGAATTATGGTGAATTTGGATTAGGGAGTGGCTTCATGGATGCGTATGTGTTTCAATGAAATGCTTTACATGACTTTGATATTGGTAATTAATGGCAGTGCCAGCCTCTGCTGCATAGAAATGGTGACAGTTGTCATGAAAATGAGGTGATTTTTCACCTTTTTTGCTCATATGTTTTTAAATAGCAGTGAAACTGTCCAAAATCTTTTTTTCTAATTTACCTACTTCTTTGCAACAATGTTACTGTAAAACAAATCCTGGAGTAATATACCCCTGGAGTTGGAAGTTGCTTCTTAATTTTTCTCATATTGAGAAGCCCATGGTGTTTTAGACATGTCTGTCAAAGCTTTGCTACTACAGAGGTGGGTAGTGTAGGCTGCTTTTGTATATCATAGATACATATCAAGATACTCGAACAAGCAGTCTTTTATACCTTTCCTTCCTGTGTCATCTGCATGATTATTTAAATGAAATATTCTTTGTTCTAACCTTACAATCTGTTGCATAAAGCGAAACAAAGGAGAAGATGCTGGGGAAATGCGTGCTGAAGAGATGAAAATTACATGGGATAAACTTATTATGACTTGTTCTCACTTTGAAAGGCACGCATTGATTTCAATCTTGTTCCAGTTTGTTTTAATTGTAATGATTATATTGGTGTACTCATAAGACATCCTTTCATTTTCCCTAAAGAGTGATTGAGTGAAAAATACAAATGACTGTGTCAGGGGCTGGACTCTACCTTCTTACTCCTGTTGACCTGAAGTGTTTGGAAGTATTTAGTATTAGAATCTATGTTTGGTACATTTCATGTTGGTTCTGTTGCTGAGGAAAGATATGCCAAGGTCATTCACATCAAGGGAGTTTTTAAAAAATAAAAAATAAAACAATAAAAGGAGGAAGCATTGAAGACAGTTTCTGCCTTCCTTTGCTCAAGGAAACTGAATCAAGGTTCTGGAAGAAGCAACAAAATTCTATCTACTTCTCATCAGCTTCTAATTTTTTGGGGGTATCTGCTACTCAGAAGTTGATGGAAAAGATAACACACCCACACACTGCAAAGATGCATCCTACTCCAACTTTGTTTTCCTCACCCCTTATTAAACAGAGAGCAACAGCAACAGTGCGTTTGTAACTAGTATTACCCCCAAAGCCTTACTCAGTCTTGCTCATTTGTTTCCAGGTGTTCCTTGTTTAGTACAGAATCGTCGTCTGCGTTTATCTTGCTTAAAATGATATTCAGTATGCAACTTGTGATTAGCTGTATCCAATCCCAGCATGAATTACAGACAAGTGTTAGTACTGGGAAGGCTCTTTGCGAAAACTTGTCCTTTTTTTGGATGCCATTCCTCCTGGTTGTGTCCCTCTGTACCACTATTGCACTGGTCTGTGGGTGAAAACAAATACCGCTTCAATAGACTACAAAAACATTCATCTCCATTAATAAAAGGAACTTAACAGCTCAAGATTCTCCAAATTTTCAAAGCTCTTCTATCTTGCCACCTGGAGAAAGTTAAACTCTTGCATAGTAGAGCCTTGTTTTTCTACAGTTTACCTTCGAGCTCTTCTCATTCAGTTTCTATTAACTGACCGAAAGGACTGATTAGCGCCCTTCCAACCAAAACTTGTTCTAGTTTTGAAGAAAAAGCCCTTTATTAAATCCGTCTTGTGTTCTAAGTTGTTGTTGACTGATGAGAGAGTCTGTGGCTCAAACTGGGGCTGTTTTTTTAAAACCTTCAAGTAACCTCTGGAGAGAGGTAAGAGAGCAACAGATGGGAAATGATTTTCCTTGAGGCAGTAGAAAAGTGTGAGTGACTTATGTGTTGCTTAAGAACCAAAGCAGTTGATGTTGGTTCAAGCACGTTAATAGTTATATTTTTCCCTACTGCAATTATTCTGGGAACTGGGCAGTTTTCATCATGGTAGCGTAGCTATGGTGATTCTAAACATCAATAGACAAAAGCCAGCAATCCAGAGTTTTCATCACAACCTGGAGTATTGCTCTGACTCCCAGGATTTTAGAAACGTTAAGCCGCAGTTACAGGCTTAACATACTGTTGTCCTGGCATCAAGAAATTGAATTATATGCATGTTCTTGCTGGTTTCAAGGGGGGAAAGTATCCATCCATGAACTTGCATGGAGGAGAAGATGCTTCAGTTACTTAAGAGTAGGTGTTTTTAGGGCCGTTTTAGATATACAGAGCACGTAAAACATCTGTATAGCATAGGCAGATAGAATACAAAACCTAAAGGAGACCCATGTTCTGCCTGATCTAGAACATCTAGCTGGATGTTATAGTGCATCTGAAATGGTGATAGAAACCTTTGTTTTCAGGCAACTCGGGCCTGACCTGGAGATTGCTTGTGTTTAGTGCCAAGTCTCTTTTTCCTTTGGTCATGATGGTGGCCCTTTGAAAGAACAAAGGAGCAGTCTCTTCTAAATATTCTCAGGATCCTGAATCTAACTGAAAGGAAGCATACCATCATGTATTTGTTTGCTCACTTGTAGTTGTTCTCTTTTAACCAGCACATCTTTAAGAGAATGTTAGCATGTAAAGTGACACATCTTATTTTTTTGTTTCCCTCAAAAACCAAATTATAGTCAGTCAGTACACAAAGTATTATGTTACATTATTGCTATGATAACCATATATGAAGGGCAGTATTAAGCCTACTCTTGATCAATACATAAAACTTTTTTTTTTTTTTCCAATTCTCTCTTTTTGAATCTGAGACATCCAGAGGAGAATTAATATAAGTTTATCAGGGAAGCTGTCACAATATTTTTAGACCATAGGAGAGCATGTCAGTATTTCTTCTTTTCTTACTTCTGAAGCCTAGAAACAGATTTCATAAATCATTAGTGCAAGTTTGTAAGAGGCCAAGACTGCAAAAATGAACAAAGTCAAGTATCCTGCTTCTGATGGAAAAATGCTTCCTGGCAACATAAACAGGAACCTCAGCTAGGGTGCTTGACTGATAATCTGTACTTTTTTCAAAGCTTTTAGTTTTTGTAGCTGCTTCCACAGTTATTGTAGTTTTTAAAAAACACCAACAGACCCCTTCTCCTGTTGATAAAAATGGCTTATAAAATTAAGTTTCGTTGTATTTTCCTTCCAATTTGTTTGATTGTTGTAGTTAGTAAAGCCATCCTTCCAAGTTTATTATGCTTCCCTGTTAAAGCAGTGAATTCTGAATTTTACTTGGCTATGAAATGGTTCCTAAGGTTCCTCAAAGTAATTACTCTTGTATTTTCTGGATAGTGATCATGAGGTAGCTCTACCGTGGATTAGAGAGTTCTGTTGGTGGATAGTGAGGGTGTTTGTGTGTCGTGTTTTTCTTTTGTTTTTTGTTGTGTGTTTGTTTTTATTTCTTGTTTTTTACTTCTGCCCCCTTCCTGTAATGTAAATTGGTGAAAGCAATCTTCAAATACCCTCATAACTTCTATATTGGTTTTGTAATTCCATTTCTTATTAGATCTTTTGTGTCAAGAGAAGCGTGCACTTATGTCAAATGCTTTCCTGCTCAAAGGTGTGGCCAACACTTTATGTCTGTGCTGTAAAATTCAACAGGAAGAAATGGAATACGTTGAACTCTTGGCAGCAGAGAAGCATCAGGCTGAAGCCCTTAAGAATATGCAGCATCAAAACAAAAGCCTGTCAATACTTGATGAGATTCTTGAAGATGTCAGGAAGGCAGCTGATAGATTGGAGGAGGAAATAGAAGAACATGCTTTTGATGACAACAAATCTGTAAGTAGTGTTTTAGACTTGGTCTCTTCATTCATGTATTTTTTTTTAGGTTGATATTAGCATTGTAAGGATGTTTCTCTTATGCTATGTTAAATAATTTTTAGGATTTTAGCAACTACTATAAAACATTTTGATTTTATGTATGTTTAAACTTCCCTTTCTACAGAAGAAAAACATTTAGTATTTAGTTTCCATGTTAGGAAATGAGCTAACATGGCCCTTTCTGCTAGCGATTTCTCTTTCTTATTTATTTTATTTGAAAGTCCTCTATGCAGCTGCCACTTTTGCATTGTGACAAGTATCTCTCAATGCTACACAGCCCATGAGAGTTGTGACATCTCTTTGGTGGTGGGGACTGCACTATCTAGGCTTTGCTGGGTATGGAGTTACCATGTTGAGCATAGTTTCCACTCCCCCCCACCCCCTTCGTTTCATTGAGAAAGTTACGAGAGAACAAGAATCCTTGCAGTTAGTTTTCAGTCTGGGAACAGATATGATCAAGGCAAGGACATAAAAAGTGTTGTGGTGTTACTTTCTTTCACTTCTGACTTCCTTTGCTTTCGGTCCGTTGGGTTACTTGCATTCTTCGTTGTTCTTATGTTGCATGATGGATGGTATCCCTTAGATAAGGCTGTGTGTATTAGGAGCTGGGACTACATCAGTTTACTTCTGCCTCCTAGTGTTTTTCTGAGATTGACTGAGTTGGTCCTGTTCACGTAAGTGCCAGTTGCAATTTTATTTGGCTTCTGCTCTTGAAAGACTTTTGTTGACTTACAAGTCGAATTCTTTTTACAGTTGTCCTCTGAGCGTAGCTTTTTATTTTGTACGCGCCTGCCTAGCAGGACTACCAGTGGGTAGGGAAGAGCTAGCTGGAGTGCCCTCTTCTGTTACTCTAGGGTATAACAGTACACTTTAAAGCGATCAGGTGTAACGGCAGAAACGTCCTTCCGGCTAACTGGCAAAAGGCCAATGCAGGGTTTTTTCCTGCAGTGTATCTCTTTGTTTTTCTCCTTGTACCTCTATTCGTGAAAGAGGAGGAATAATGAAATGCTAACTGGAGTACTGTTTAGGTCTCCAGCTTAGCAAGGAACAGCTAACGTATTTTCTCATAAACTGGAACACCAGAAGAAAGACTGTCTAATAGAGTAATCAATAGTATAGAAACTTTCATTAAAAGTCTAATCAAGGAGAAATGTAATAGATAAAAAGGAAAAAAGAATATGAGCTAGCCCACTTAGTGCAAGACAACAGTATTTATTCATTATATTCTGTCATATACAGCCCATTTGCAGGAACTGCTGTTTTAGGAAATAAAATCTTGAAGTAACTGTTTTCCCATTATGTCCTCAAATTCATCAGTTTTTAGAGGCTCATTTGAATCTGTGCTGTGTACTCTTGCTCTCCTATCATGTTCTATCTTTGATTCTCTCTTTAGTAAAAACAAAAATGCACCATGGTATCGACTCAACATTTAATTTTGTAAATATACAGGAAAAAAATCATTTTTTTCTTTTTTTGTAGTTGTCTTAGTCTTATAACATCTTTTTTGTGTTCTTAATATCATTTCCGAACTAGATTGTAAACTCCACTGGATGAGGAATATATTTATCCAATCATATCACTTTCATATGATCTATGATAATTTTAGATTTTGATACAGAGAATTTTGGTTAGGATCCACACACACAAGCTACCAAGTACAAAGGAACATACAACAAGCTCTATATGAATTTCGAATTGCAGAGCTTCAAAGAAGATGCTTCAATATTGATGTATTTGATAATTTGCTTTTTGAACACTGTCCTTGATATCATAGCATCTTCTTAGGAATTTAATCCTAGGACAGAAGTTGCTTATTAGTGCTTTGATTTTAGGCAAAGTTAGTCATCTGCAAGACGGGGACGCTGCACTAAATAATGAAGTAATCTCTATGTGAAAGTCAGTTTAAAGTATGTTTTAAATTGCAGAACCAACATTTAACCGTGTGCTCTGAGCACTCTTTTGGTATCCCTGGAGTAGCACAGAGGTGGGGATCAGGACCAAAGATGACAGAAAAGCTGTAGGATTGGGAACCTGTTGAGTCTTCTGCACAGCAACCGTTCTTCACGTTCCCTGACTGTAGGGAAGCCTTTCTTCTTTGTTCTGATACTATGAGAATAGTTTGCATATACAGGGCATGCAGCTGCTTCTGTTTTCTCGCCTCAGCTGAAAACACTGGAAACATACATTTTGGGCTCTTATGCTTGACAATGGACACTTAGTTCTGGAATGCAAAATAGCTTGGTAAGTGGGGAGCTAAAGGATGTGAAAACAGAATAGACATGAAAAGGCAGGTTGTGGGAAAAGGGGTGAAAAGAGAACTTTCATAACACGTGAAAACAAAACGGCTATCGGCCTCTCAGTCCAACGCATATGAATGTTGGTGTTTTAGAAGTATCAAGTATCTACTTCAGTAGTTTGACAGACTTCAGAGTTTGTTTCACATTCTACGTTTCTTTTCCCCGTTTGATTCTTAAGTGACTTCAAATTCTTTAGAGTCCCATCATGTTGCATTGTATGCAAACACAGAGGAAGAGGTAACTCCTATGATAAGAAGCTTTAGTCTTTTAAATGTGTATATATATGTGGAATGAAGAAAAGCATAAAACTTGCAAGTAAAATGTCAATATTAAATACTGAAAATGCAGTATTTATCTGAACAACTTGGTGAAAGGCGCATGGGAATCGGCTAAGGCAAATAGACTGATGTTTTATAGAAGGCTTATGTGAAGACATGTCATCTTAAAATTAAGGGACTGCATAAGGGTATGGGCTTTTTCTTGATTGAGGGTGTAGTCGCTATCTGATTTTTGTGAACTGATTATCAGTTTCTAAACTCTAGTTGTTTCTGTTCAAGTCAATAAAATGTTATTTTAAACGAGACTTGTAATAAACGTTTTACTTCTGTGGTCTAAATGTGCTGAAACTTTTTTTTTTTTTAAACTGATTGAATTCAATTGAAAATACTGAATTGGAATTCTACGGGTTTGGAAACTTGTCTTGATGTTTTTTGGTTGGACAACTTGTCTGAAGAGACATTGTTTTATTAATAAGTGGACCTGGAAAAGCCCTCGTTTTTAAAACGTAAAGCCGATTATAAGATTGAAATTGCATTTTTCAGTTATGGACATCAGTTTTTTTTATAAGGAGTCTGATAAAATTTCTCTAAGGCTGAACTGCAGTGTTTTTACTTGGCTTCAATGCGTTCTGCAGAAATTCGAGCAGAGCTAGTAGTCTTTTCCTCTGTTACCATATCCTTCACTGACCCTTTTTTCTAATTTCTTTTGCCTTTCTTGAAAGGTAAGAGGTGTTAACTTTGAAGCAGTTCTAAGGGTGGAAGAAGATGAAGCCAACTCCAAAAGAAATGCTTCAAAAAGAGAAGTGGAAGATGACTTAGGTCTTAGTATGCTTATTGATTCCCAGAACAATCAGTATATACTTACGAAGCCCAGAGATTCAACCATTCCTCGTGCTGATCATCATTTCATAAAGGTAAACATTTTAGAGACACTTCCGTCATTCTTTTTAGGGAGATTTACTCCCACTTGTTTGCATGCCAGTACTGCTTTATATAGTTTCAGCGTCTGTCCCTCTAAAATTACCCTAGCATTCGTGACTTCCCCTTCCACTGGTGATCTGGCTAATGTTTTCCTCACTCCCAGGTGTAGGCCTCACAAGACTGTTTGTGATTTTAAACATGCATACTACATGACTCCTCTCTGTTTATATTTATTTGATTTAACTTCTTATACCTGTGGGGCAGCATCCTTTCTGCTCTCTAACTGCACACTGTTAAAGAGAGCTACTGCTGTGCCTGGTAAGTTGCTTGCATGTCGTTGTGAGAGAGTTTATCCTTATGTGTGTTGCAATAAGGAAACCGAGGCTGGAAACGTTTCTATTATTTGTGTGCTTGGTAAAGAATAAATGAATTTGTTTTAAAAAAGTATTATAAAAGAATTCTAAGTGGGTCTATTTCACAATTTTGTTTGAATGTAAAGTGTCAGCTCCTCACAAGCCCCCTGAAAACTGTCCATCTCCTATAATGTACTTAAAGCTTTAGTAAATAGAACAAAAGTCTCAAAAGCTAATGGTTGCTTAAGGTCAGTACCTCATGTACTGCATCTACAAAACTGTAGTGTTTATGCCTACAACAAAATGTTTAACTTAGTTTACTGTTGTTTAATGTTTTATTATCACCGACTCCAGATGGTACTTGACATCTAATTTTACAGTGCCATCCTTCTGTGAAGGACGAGAGTCTAATTTCACCACAGCTTTGTGTTCTTTATATGTAAAGATTTATATGTAAATGTTATATGCTAGGATATCGTGACAATAGGAATGTTGTCTTTGCCGTGTGGCTGGCTGTGCACGACAATAGGATTGCCAACCATGTTTGGGTATATCATCTGTGGAGTACTCTTAGGACCGTCAGGATTAAATAGTATCAAGGTAAGTGTACGAGTTACTGCTATGTCTTAACTAGTTTTATTTATTGAAAGCTTTAAGAGTATTAAAAGAATATGGTATTGCCAACCTCAAATATATTTAAAAAAAAAAAAAAAAACAAACCTTCACCTTTGCAAAGTGAGGCCTTGAAATTGTCTTTGAATCACTTTGTTTTCAGTTTTGTTTTTTTTTTTTTCCTTCCTACTAACCGTGACAAGGAATTTTTTGAAAGTGAAAGCTGAAGGGCTGTTTATGTTTTGTTTTTGTTTTTTTTCCTGTTGTTTTCATTTATTTTTATCATAAAGGATGATGTTTTGGACCCAAATTAAGAAAACATATCACATATTCAGAAACTTGCAAAAAGTCAATACTGACAGTAGCACAGGTGTTTAAAACAAGTTGTTCCGTGAGTAGCATAGCTTGGCTTCCTGGAGCATTATTTAGCATCTCTGCTGCTCTTTCATCCTTCCTAGTAACCCTAGTTCTTTTCCAGTCCCCCTGCCCACATTCCTGAAATCTCTTGAACCTTTTTAGCTCCATCACATGTTCCCCGATTACGAGCTGAATGAGCAGTAGTAGAGGCTGTGGTTGGTTTGAAGTTACACGTTTTCCTTAGTGGTCTGGTATGCATTAACAGATTGTTTAGCCAGCCAGCAGGCAAAATTGAACAAATGTTAAGGTTGCGTGTTAATGTGAAGCTAAGTAAAATATCTCTATTCCATTGACATCCCCATAACTGGCTAGAACCTAAAATCTTTGGAACCTCTGCTCTTATGTGAAATTTTGTTGAAATTAACCAATGGGCTCAAAAGTAAATAGGGATGAATTGACAGAAACCTACAATGTCTATCTCGTTTTAGGAAAGAAGGTTAAAAATACCCTTTCAAGATTTCGTACTCTGAAAAGATGAGATTAAATAACCTTGTGTAGTATGTAACGCCTGGGTTGAGAAGATCTGGAAAGCCTGACTGCTTAGACTGAGAAACAAGTTTGTATGTTTCATCAGAAAGAGATTCAACAGTAGATTTTTCACTGAAGTTTACACTGAGGAAGATGACTGGTCAGAACAGAGATGAGGGAGTTTTCTTTAGGACAGTTTCTTATGGAGCTGTGATTAAACATTATTCTTCTGGATAATACTTATTTATGTTTACTGGGTGTCTTGAGTATCGTCGCTTGCATTTCATAAAAATGTGGTGTGTAGGAGGAACTGAGGAGGCAGGCAGATTCTAATCTGGGGGGGAGTTATGCCACATCTCCCCTTATCTATGATGAAGAATATTCTTTATCCTCCTCTCCTTTGGGCTGTAAATATGTTAAAAAGAAATGTTAGGCCTTTCTGGTATGGGGGGCGGGGGGGAAGGGCATCTGCTTTTCTTGTTCTTGCACCCTTGTACTTAGCTCTGAAGTGGAAAGGATGGCAGTTACACTGGCCTGAGAGACAGATGCATGCAGTCTATAAGACGGAGACAAGAACAGTAACTACAGTCTAGTATACAGTCAGTATATCTGCAGGGCAATGAAATAATTAGCCAGAAGTAACTTCTAGAATGCAGCCTTGGGCGTTTAATAGCATACACATAAAACTTGACCTATTTATGTGTAACGAGCAAGAAAACTTACCTAGGTCAACAGTACATGTGCATTTAGGTAACCAGCATTGTCCAACCAAATTGTCTAGCAGCAGTCAGGTCATGGGAACAATGTCTGAAATCCTGAAGACACTGAGGGGACTTTTGATGTCATATGACCAGTAAGTGAACTACCTATGGAACATAATAATAAATGATTTGTGTTGAAAGTAGACTTGTAATTTGCATTGAAAATAGACTGCTGTGCCCTGATTTTTATTTTATTTTTTAATAGTCTATTGTACAGGTGGAGACATTAGGAGAGTTTGGTGTTTTCTTCACTCTCTTTCTAGTTGGTCTGGAATTTTCTCCTGAAAGATTAAGAAAGGTATTTCCTTACAATACTCCTACCTAACTTGAACATTAGCAATTAAATCCTGTAATCAGGTCTGTTTCATATTTTTATACTCTGTCTATAACATTCCAGTGTAACTTCTCTTTTTTTTTTTTTTTTTTTTTTTTTGAAAAGACAAATATGACACCTGCTTCTTATCCTTAAATCTTTGGAAATAATAGGATGCGTTATTTAGTTAATACTTCTAAAAAAAACTTTACTATTCCTTTTCATTTTAGTAAAACAGTTCGATTGCTAGAAAGTTCTTGCACAATTTATGGCAATTCATCTTTGCTGTCCATGCAGTTTAGTTGCTGTGATGCACTGTCCAGCAACGTCTTGCCAGTCCTGTAATAAAAAAAAAATAAATAAAAACAGTTTACCACATGCTGCATATTGAATTGATATATGCTATACTGGCAGTAAACTGATTTTGCAAGTGTGTTAATACAGTTTGGAATATTAAATGCTGTGGCCATCAGGATCCAGCAAAAAGGTACAAGTTTCTTTTGATTTTTAAATTAAAAAAAAATGCTATTCTTTTTAAAAAAAAAAAAAAAGCTAGAATTTTAATAGTGGAAAATACTGCTGCAAAATATATAAAGTGTACTTAGACTTGCATTCTGTGATTTGTCCCTAAATTGACGGTTGTTAGTCCATAAGACTATAAAAGCTTTCATTGAAATGTGTTAAAGTTTATGAGCGTTCCATTTAATCTGCTATTTTTAGTCTATCTTAAGTCAAAGATAAGTATTTTAGTACAGTTGGTAATTCAGGGGTTCCTAAACTGCAATATGTAAATTGTTACTGGTGTGCAAGCCACTTGAAAGTTCTGTGTGTCCTACTACAGAGTGGACTGTTGGTATTGATGATGGTCCTCACCACTCCATTTTTCTTTTGGGGGGGGGGGGGGGCTGAAATCACACTAACTAGTCTTCCATGGGATATTTATATAGTTCAATTCATACTGGACCTTTCACCCTTCGTCTGTTAGTCTTTGAGCTCTAGGGAATTTGCCTAATTTCTGGTAATGAGCCCCGGAATGGGATATCGTCTACTAGGCGTAACATTTTTAGAGCTTTAGGCTGTGTAGGATGAAAGCTTGTTACTTCTGTGGACCAGCACTGCAGCCCCACATCATGCATTTTTAACTGTTTATTTGCACTGAAAAGCCTTGTAAGGTACTAGTGAGAAAAATGTTCTCAGACTTTATACATGGAGTTTGTTTCCTTCTCAAGGTATGGAAGATATCTTTGCAAGGCCCCTGCTACATGACGATTCTGATGATTGCCTTTGGTTTATTATGGGGACACTTGCTCCAAATTAGACCAACACAAAGTGTCTTTATTTCCACTTGTTTGTCTTTGTCGAGCACACCATTGGTGTCAAGATTTCTTGCAGGCAGTGTTCGAGGAGATAAAGAAGGTAGGTATGATTTAAATATGGACTACTGTAGAATCTACAATAAAACTTGAAAATAGCAGAGCTTTATAATATTATATCAAGACAAATTAGCGTTAAAAAAAAAAAAGGCAATCAAGCCTGATTTACAAGGAATCATCCTTCTTTAATGCTTACCAGCATTCTGTGCATTCTTGTTATGAGATGTACCAGCTATCTGTGTAGCTTGTCCTCTTTAGAGGAAGGCTGTGTGGCCCATCCAATACTCACGAACTGGAATCTGGAATTCTTGTGCATATAAGAAGCTAGCAAATTAGACCATTACTACCAGTCTGTTGTCACGGCAGAAGGGCTAAGACCAGCTCAGGTAGTCCTCTTAGCTAGCGGCTCTTCAAATACTTTCAAGTGCTGTATTGCTAGCTTATCAAATAGCTCCTAAATGTTTCCTTTCAGAAGTTATGCCAACTTGCTTTCTTCCCCTTAAACCTGCCTCCTGCCTACTGCATTAAGGCTTTATTATCTTTATAATACTCATATTCCAGTGCCCAAATTCCAAGGAAACAGTCTATCCCTTGTTAAGTTATGTGCATGTTATGGTGTACACTGTGACTTTTCCATATGGAAATTACAGTAAATGCATAACCAGTGCTTAACTGTTATGCAAAGTCCATATTGTAATTGTATAACAGAAGCTTCATATGACTATTTTATAAGTGTGATTTATCTAATGGTGCAAAAAACAGAATGCTTTGAGTGTTCTTACCCCATTGAGAACCATGCTTAGCCTCTATTTGATGAAGACATTTCTAGATATTTCAGCACTAAAAGCGTTCATAGATTCTGATAAATGTTTCAGTGACTTCTTTTTTTTTTTTTTTTTTGTACAGGGGATATTGACTACAGTAGTGTACTGCTTGGCATGTTGGTGATGCAGGATGTGCAGCTCGGTTTATTTATAGCTGTCATGCCTACACTTATTCAAGCAGGAGCAAGCACCTATTCCAGGTAAAGAAATTACTGTATGTATGCCCCCACTCCTTTCCAATTTAGTATGCAGATTGCAAGTATGAATGTAAGAAAGCTATACTTAAAATGTCAGTTCCTTGAAAAATGTATGCTTTATTCTCTGAGCTCCCTTTACTATCTGTAATTACCATGTTATATGAGAATATTCTTTTTGCTCTAGATACCTTTGTTCTGTCCAGTTATTAGCTTAAAATTGCTAGTGAAGAGGAGTTTGTTACTGTTAAAAATAAGTGAAGTTCTTCAGAGCTACTTCATTCACTCAAGGTGTATTTCAGTCAAAGACTGTGAGGTAGAATTATTGAGCCTGATAAGGCACCTTGAAGATCAACTAACAAAAGTTTGTTGTTTTTGAAGCAGCCTTACAGAAGTAAATTCTAGGCTGTAGAAGGAGATTACTGGGTATTCAGCAGATTTGGTACTCATGCTGTTTGCTTATGTATCTAAATACTTTATTGTGGGTACCTGATTTTGAACATCTCTGCAATTAGAGCTTGTCACTTAAGTGAAAGTGGTTTAGAGGCAAGAGAGCAGTTTAAAGAAATGATTGTTTGTTTTTCTATTTCAGCATTGTCAAGGAAATACTGAGAATATTGATACTGATTGGCCAAATTCTCTTTTCTCTGGCTGCTGTTTTTCTTATATGTCTTGTTATAAAGACTTATCTCATAGGACCATATTATCGGAAGTTGCACGCGGAAAGCAAAGGGAATAAAGAAATCCTCATTCTAGGAATATCTGCATTCATCTTCCTTATGTTAATGGTAATTGTTTAAATTCATTTTGAAAATTATGCACGTGTTATAGTGCGTCAGTATCACAAAAGCCATATCACGTTTACTGTTGCTGCGTATCCAAATACTTCTGTAGTTAATTACTTGGTTTTAAAATGCTTAAAATCAGAACCCAAATGCACAGATGATTAATGCATCACAGCAGAGGTAAGTAGTAACTGATAACATTTGAATATCAATAGGTTGCATTTCTGCAGGTAACTTTTAATAAAGCCTCTTAAGGAATCATAATTACAGTTTTAATTTTAGGATGCTTCATGCATTTGAAAAAAAACTTTGGATGAGTTTTGAGTTACTGATACTGGTTGACTGTGAAATTTACTTACCTGTTGAATTTACTTACCTTTTGAATGGCAAGTTCTTGATATAGTTTTTATTTAAAAAATAGTTTTCCTTTCTTTGTGGGAGATATGTTGGGGCTGAAGTTGAGGAAGTAGAGAAATGCCTTAATGTTCAGATAGCTTGCCTAAAATGTAGCATGCAACTGAAGTGCGTGAAGTCAGATATTTTAAAAGACACCATAGTACTTTATTGGGAGTCCTATTGTAGTTGTTCAGGACACAAACCGTTTTTGTAAGCTTTGATATCTGTTCTGAGCTTGGGGTTGTTGGTGTGAGGTGTTTTGGGGTTTTTTTGTTTTTCTTGGAATCTTCCTTCCATTGGTTTCTATCTCATATTTCAGCCTTCTGGCAGACTATTCTGTTAGAGAATAGAACATGACAGTCACTGATAATGTTGTGGGTTTGAAAGTCTGTTATCGTGGATCTGCAGATTGTTATGCCCTCTTTGAGAGATGCTGAGGAAAGAAATATCAAATAAAATTTCTGTGCATGCACCTTTTTTTTGCTAGGGTGTCTGTATAATCATTACAGAGTCAGTAAAGTTGTTCTTCAGGATTAAGGTCAAGGAAGAAGTTAGTGAGAGAAATACTTTACTGAGTATTTCAGTTTGTATTATATAGGTTATAAAAATGCTATCATTGTAAAAAGTTGTTCATATTCCAAACAGGTGTGCCACTTAAGAAGAAAAGAAACAATTATTTTCTTTTCTTTGCCTTCTAACAAGCAGATGCAGTATCTATAGAACATCTTTAACAAAAAAGGGTAAAATACTATGGTGGTTGGAAACAGTCTTAGCTTTCATTAAAAATACGTCCTACAGAGTAAACTGATTGAACCGGACATATTGTGCCCAAATGAACACGTCAAATGTATTTGTTCTGTACATGACTTTACATATATGTGCATATACAAAGTTGAGGCAGAATACTTAAGTGAGCCTTTTGAATTTATACTGCAAAAATGGTGTGCTGCTTCAACATGGGAAACTTTTGTTTGTAGAGAAGCACGTATTTTGTGTACTTTATCAACTTCAAAAGGAAAACTGCTTTCACTTAATAATTTGGAAAAAAAAAAAAGTACAAAGGATACAACATGTAACCTCAGCCATCTAGTTCAGATGCCTGATATTTGCTGACACTGATATAGTTATTGCTGTAGTTATTACTATAATACTGAAAGTTGTTCTGAGCGCCAAGATTTAAAAAAAAAAGGCAAAAAAAAAGCAAGTGTTTGGTTAACCAGGTGAAAAGTTCAATAAACAGATCTTCTGAAAAACAAATCGTAATTGGTACACATGCCCTACTATGTCAGAAATAAAAACACGGGATGGGAAAAACAATCTTGTTTGAAAAAATATTGCATATATTTGGAAAGGATTAACTAAGGTTTTTGGGTATGGGTTGGAAAACAATTAAACTGCTTTAGTTTCTTCAAAGGTCTTTTTCCTTCTAGAAGCAAGGCAAATATTGACAGAATCTGTATATTTATCTGCACATGTGGAATTTTCCATACTTGTGGAATTCCAAATAAGCTTTTCAGTTTGTAGAAGGAGGAACGAGAGTGTGGATATTTTAGTGGCCATAACCACAGGTGACTCTGGCGTTCCATTTAGAAAACTTGAGAGGAGCTTTTAAACAAAATATTTTAAATCTCTTGTCTAGCGTGTGAGGTACTCTGCAGGCCACATCCTTTTCGATGCATGACAAAGGGGTAGGCATGGTATCATGGTTTTTCTGCTTTGTGCATAGTTACTTGTTATGTGCTCGTGTATTGCCTGGATTTCTGGGGCCCACCTAAGTTTATGCCATATTGGGATTGGTCTGTAGCACTAGCACGTGTAATGCATATCACATATTTATTTTTCTTGTTTCCTGGTTTGAAAATCTCAAATGACTAGTTAAACAGCAAGAATTTAGATTTCTCTACCAATCCGTGTGGATTCTGTGCTTGTATATGGAAAATTGTAGGGAGGATAGGACAAAAGATGTTCTTATGTGTGGCAAGAATAAGTAATTTTAGTGTAAGGATTATCCCCTGCCTGATAGGGAGCTTCCTGTATGGAAGTAACTTTTGGAAGTTCCTTTTGTCAAGAGCATTCCTGAACTGCTTGACCCAATTTGATAAGATTGCAAATGATAAAATGTGGAACTGGATCTTAAATACACCTCTTCTTGACAAACTAACATAGAGGAAAAAAAACGCTGCATATGTCAATTATAAGCCTGAACCACCTCTTTCTTTCTCTTCAAAATGTAGTAATATTCTTAAAAGTCACTGTTTCCCCCCCCCCCGGAAGTAATACATATAAACTCAGTAAGATATCAAGCCAATTTATGAAAATATGATTTTAAGAAAGTAATTTTTCCCCCCCCCCCCAAAAAAGAAAAACAACACTAGATAAGCACATCTTGGGGTTATGTCAGGTGCCAACCCTATGAAAATCCAATTGAACTTTGAGACTGAGTTGTGCGTTTTTCAATTAGTACATCATCATCAATACTGAAGGTTAACAGACCACTGTTAAACCCTCAGTGACTCCTTTGCAAGCTTTGAGAGCTGAAGAACACATAGTGTGTCAGCCAGCCTGTCGATTGGTGTAGTGTTGCTTTTTTATCTTGTGTGCATAGAATCATTGCAAGAAGATTGTTTTAAGCAGTATCCTGATAATGAGTTGCAATATTAGATATCTATAGGACAACAGTGTTCAGTTTTGTCATATTTTAAAATAAGTCACTGCATGTTTTTAAGCAATTAAACAAACAAACCTGAACTGACAAGAAAGAGAACAGTTACATTTATATGAATGTGCATACAAATAGGAGGAGGGGAAGAAGTGGTTTCCAATTTGACTGCATTATGGTTGACCTGTGATGGAGGCAGCAAGGGGAGGGAAACAACTGTATCTTCTTTTCATCTTTTTAGTATGTAAATAAAACTGGCAATGTTATTGTAGCGTATGAAAACATACATATTACTTTCTCTGATGTATTAGGAATGTCATTCCTTATTTGCTGGAGTGCTTCTCAGTGACTCATAATGTGCTTATGAACTCCCTTTCTATTAATTAAGGTGAGAAGATTAAGGAAGGACTGTAATCTCAGATATTCTAGTTAATTATATAAATATAGCGGAGGTGGAGTTTTTACAAGGCTCACTAAAAACTGTTTACATTTGCGTTGAGGTTTTGCTTCCATAAAGCACAAGCTTAGAATTTGCCTCTTTGCTCTAAGGCAGGTTTAGGTTATTAATACCTGAAATTTTAACACATTTATTTCCAATGAGTGTTTCTCTAGTATTGTTGACTTACCTTATTTATTAAGCTTCTATGATGATTAAAGAGTAGTAATAGGGTATGTATTTTAAGAGAATATAGGCAGAACAGCTGTTGAACGAATGGTTAAAGTTCAAATGGAACAGGGAATAGCGCTCGTATCTTATTTATTGCTGTAGTAAAACATTTGAATGTAAAAGTGCAATATCCTAGTGAAAGCAAAGCAACTTGTCTGAATGTAGAGTAAAATGGGACCTTGGAAAACAAACGAAAACTGAATTGTACTTAAGAGTCTTTGCTGAGAAGGCCATTTTGCCAATAAAACGAGCCCTTTCCCAGAGCACGTATGTGTCTCATCTGCTATAGATTTTTCTATGTTTTGTAGACCTGAGGCTGTATAATATCTGGAGGATAGAGAAGAGATGGCAAAATTCAGTTTACCTACTGTGTCCTTGAACTCATACTTAGGTTGCCCTAAAGAAGTGGATTGCAGTTTTTACATGGGTTTGATTCCACAGTGTAGATGTACTGTTTGCTCTAATTATGTTGATGCCTTCTGAACAAGCATGTAGTATACTTCTTTCATGCTTAAACTGTTCCTTGCTTGAATAGTGGTTCTTACAACAGCATGGTATTATGTAATTCCAATACAAGAGATTATAGATCCCTTCTTAAGTGGCAACTTAACCATGTAAACGTGAACATTTAAAATACCAGCTATGAATGTTTTGACCTGGAGCCCTGTTATAGCTGATAATGCACAAAAGTGTGGGGATTATATGTGAACAGTAGAAACAGCTACTACTTTGAAGAGACTATTTTGGATCTCAATCATACTCTAGAGGGTGCAACTTTTCCAACAGCTAATGCCATGATTAAGAAAAAGAACTTACATATTTCCTATTCCAAACTATTTCCTGTATCTTCATCACGTTCTGATGATTTAAAGCCTCTTGTATAAACTTCCTTCTTCCCTCTTGCAGTTTGAGATTGCTGTGAAGAGCACTCCGTTTGAAACTAAGCTGAAATTCCTTTTGTTTTAAAATATAAACATATGCAAAGTGACAGCTTTTGCACAGTAGTCAGAATGGATTATAATGTTATTTTGTTGGTTTTGCCTGATTAGCAACTGTTTGCGTTATTTGACAGATCTAAGCCATTTTCTTAAATGTTTTGCGATAAATTAAGGACGATGAGCACCAATTGAGTTATGTAATGAGCATTCAGACGTTACTATGTAAAAAAAAAAAAAAAAAAATTATGAAAGTCAGTTTTATTTTTAGATAGCATTTTATGCACTGCTTGGAATGACTTGTTTATCATTTCTCTTGCTCTCCTCCATTAATTCCAGTCACTTGAGTTTTAGCTTCATACCATACAGTGTAACACTGTTCAAGACATGATGAATGTTGTCCATAAATGTACAATAGTATATTGTTGCTTATTCTAAATTACTATGGAAATAAGGCTTCGGTTTAAAGTGTTCTATTAATATTAATAGCATTGTTGTTTATCAGTAAGATGACTGTCTGCAGCAGCACGGTTTTAAAGTAATTATTTAAAAACATATTTTATACTTACTGAAAATGTACTGCCTTTTTTTTAAATGCTAAGAGCATTGCCTTAAGCAGTTTATTTTTAGGAGTTTAGACTCTTTACGTATGTTTCATCCTTCCTTTCTAATACCATATACAAATAACAGGAAGAATGAAGAGCAGTGTGAATTTCTTCAAATAGATACCATGCTTCAGTTCAGCAGTTTATATCCTCGAATCCACCTCTATTTGGTAAAGCACACGATTTATGTTTTATAATTGTAAACGGGGTTTAAAAACATGGTTACGTCTAGGAGGGTTTTCCTGAATCAAGGCTGTTCTCCCAAAGTAAAAGTGTTGATTTCCCCCGCCCCCAACTTCACCTTCTGCCTTGGTTGGCTGTCGGATAATATGCTGTTCTTACTGCATTATTTTCACAGCCTCAGTCTATTATATAATCCTGACTCTGAAGCTGTTAGCTCTCTCCTTTTAGTGAAATCAGATGCTATCCCTTATGAGTGACACAAAGAATTACAATGTAGATTAATTTTTTTGGTTTGTTTTTTGCCTCTGTGGGGGAAAAGGTAATACAGAGGGAAAACTTTTTTTGTGTATCTTTTGGATAAATTCATTACTGCAAAACACTTAAATGTGCTGAATTCTATTTGTTGTTGAAATTGCAAAAAAGATGTAATAACTTACTGCACTCAATATAATGTATATCTTCATAATTTCATTGTAAAATGGTATGTGAAGTCACTCGGGGCAAGAGAACAGCAATAGACTTTCTCTTATTCCTTGACAGATCACAGAGCTATTGGATGTGTCAATGGAACTGGGATGCTTCTTAGCTGGAGCTCTGATCTCTTCTCAGGGTCACATGGTTACTGAGGAGATTATGTCCTGTATTGAACCAATACGTGACTTTCTTGCCATCATTTTCTTTGCATCCATAGGTAATTTCTAAGAAAACTTATTAAAATAGTGCTAACCTATGTATAAGGGGAAGGAGGAAATTTGGTGACTACAGAGTGGGGGGAGGAAATGGATTTTAATTTGTGAAAATACTAAAAGGTTAATTGACTCCAGTGTTGGTTTGACTTTGCTAATATTTTTAAAGGTAACATTCATTTTCTAAACACTTTCAATGCTGTACTCTCAATTGCTGTTTTTTTAATGTCACTTTTTCATTGCTAATTCTAAATTTGAGCTGTTTTACATGCAGAGCTGAAGTATTTTAAGGTAAAATAGAGTTGTTTTTGGAAAACTTTCTCTTTGCAGTGGGTATTTATTTGGAATTTATATGAAAATTGTATTGTCATTTTGAGTCTGTTAGAGTAAATTTCAGGTCTTTGTGGCTTCCTTTTCTCTAGAAGCAGAATATGATAATGGCAGCAGATCCTTTTTATGGTTTCTTTAATTGGGAAAATGTGATCTGTATGTTCTCAACAAAGGAAGAATTAATTGAACAAGATATATCTCAGACTACCTGAATGCCTGCTGAAATGGAATATTCATACCTAACCCCAGAAGAGTAATCCAACATGCTTGTTATCCAGAGCCAGCTAATTATGAAAATATTTAAAGTCAGTCAGCATCTTCATTTTTTAAATGCCAAATTCCCAAGGTATCCATGCATGCCCTCCTCTAAAGGAAACATGTTATGAAAGTGCTTTGGTCCCTGTATGGTGAATGAAGAGAGGCCTAGTGAAAACATTTGCCTCTCCTTACATAGTGTACAGGAGATGTATGCCCAATTTGAGGGCACTGTAATGTCCAAAATAAGTGATTTGAATTTAGCCCTTTGCTTACAACTCCAGCCTTTTTTCAGCTTGTGCTCACCCAGAAGTTCATAGCTCTTTTTCCAAGACCAACCTTTGTTTTGCGTTGATTTCTACCCTGAGCTTTGTTCTCTCTTTATTTCTCTACGTTTATTCAAATGATAGTGAAGTCCCACTGTCAGCCTAATTCATATGGCTTTCATGTCTGTAGTCTTAAGCAAAGATGTGCGTATGAAACAACAGGCATTAAACTGGTGTAAAAGAAACCAAAGCTGTTTTGTGGCAGTTATCAAAATAAAAAAGAAATAATTGTGTTCAGCAGTCTTAACGTTGTTTCTCCTAACCGACAATAACAAATTCTGCAGTTCAGTCAGATTGCTGACTAATAGATACGTTTACTTGAATTTATTTTTTAAGAAAGGGAGGAAACTGGCAAGCTACAGTAAAACTTTTGGGCCTAGATAGCTGAAAAGGTTGGATGAGTAATTACTAAATGCTCACAGATAAGCTGTGTATGTGTTTTAGTAAAGATGGTGATGGAGTGGGTGGTGTTATCAGGGTTGCAAAGCAGGACAAGTAGTCATAAGCCAGAAGTTAATTTTGCTAGGTATTGAGCAAAAATACTGTCCTACATTCCTGTGACTTCATAGATTAAGATTAGAGGTGAGATTTAGTACAGTGTGAGAAAATGAGACTTCGATCCACACGATAGGCAGCAGTCTATCTAGCCTAAGTTATAGTGAAAGGACTCCACTTTGGTAGTTCTGTTACAGAATTCAGAAAATAGCTTTTTAAATGTTATTCCGATTATAACTCCAGGAAAAGAGGTGAAAATCGCCTAACAAGTTAGTGTGTTTTTTTACAGAAAACAGGCGTTATCCCTGCCTCACAAAAAGGTTAGCTAAAATGTCTGACCATAAATCAGAAAAAGGAGCATCTGACAAAACGTGATAATGCTGCTTATTTACAAAACAAAAACTCTTTATTTTTTTTTTCCTTTGATACTTTCAGCTTCTGTGGTTAATGGGAAGTTCTTTGGGGATGGTTGGTTTGTTTGGTGTGGCAAGGAGGTAGGTTTCGACAAGGAATGATGTGATGTTGCAATGAAAACCTGAATTGGATGAAATACTCCTTAACCTTTAAGCAGTCTAGTAAGAATAGTTTTCTTGCTTTCTGTGTGTGTGTGTGTATACATACACACACAAATGTCTTTACGTTGTCATGACTGTCTTTATATATAGATAAATTTACTGTGTGAAATTATGCAAAGGTTATAGGAAAGACTATTTTTCCCCTTCCCAAAGAGGAGGATTGTTGCTACATGCTGCAAGCACCCTACAATAAAGAGTCAAGATACCTGAGATCCTGAGGTGGGACGGTCACCATCACTTCAACAATACGATTTCTATTCCTTTTAGAACAAAGGAATATATAGAAAAATGTGACTTCACTGAAGTGTGGTTGTAAACATGTCATTTGAAAAAATTAGTTTTCTCTTTTCACTACAAAAAATCCTTCTGGTGCCTGAAAGCTGGGCTGAATAGTACTTGTTCATCTCCTGTCTTTAAAAGTGGTCCTGACCTTAGCTTGACCTGTGTAATGCAGCTGCTTTCAAATTTATGCAAGGATGCATTTGTAGGAATAATATACCTTTGCAGTTAGACATTAACAGCTGTAGTTCAAGCAGCTCCCTGTTTGTACGTTCATTTGTGCCCATGTGTGTTCTTCAAGCTTCCTGGCTCTCTCTCTGCTGAGGTTGGAAAGCTCCTCTTGCTGCCTGTCCTCACTAATATTTTTGAGAGAACATCTGGAGTGATCTCAAAGATCCACATTTTGAGAATTTTTTTTCTCATTTCTGTTTTGATATCTAGTATTTAGCTCCTTCTCTTCCCCCCCCTGCCTCCTTTGATTTTGTTTTGATGCATTTTTGCATAGGCATTGTTGTTTCTTGTTAAGGCTCCAACATCCCATTTTCTGCCAGATTACAAGATGAGTGGAGTTTGAAATCGGCCATCAGGACCCTATCTGCCACAGCTGAGTAGGCAGATTACTTCTGCTCTCTGACAAAGTTGCATGTCCTCAGTGTGCTGTACAGATGTCTTCACTTGCCAGACTGTTTTCCATTTGGGGAAATCGAGGTCAGCAATGGACCGTGAATTCAAGATGCTGAAAACAGTATGGTCCCTTTCCTCAGGTGAGGGGTGGTGCTGACACTGTCAGCACTACCATTCTCCAGAACAAACACACAAAGCATCTTTCTTTGAGCCTCTAATATTTCTGTTGAATTAGAATTCAATCAGGATTCAAGAGAAGATCCCAGGACTGGGATTCATTGGTGACATTCACTGCCTTCTCCTTGTCTGTGCAGCTCTAAATGCTTTGTTGTCCTGCATGGAACACACAGTTGAAAAATTCAAGCTTTCAGAACTGACCTTAGGATTCAGAAGACTTTCCCTTTTCAGAAAAATTGAGATGAATGTTGAATTTTTTTTTCCTCCCCCCCCCCCCCCCCCCAGCCATTGGTGCTCTGGCAACTGTTGTCGTAATGATCTAGCCAGAGCAGTTGTTTACTACGTTTGCTAGCTATGATCTAAGATTCATTGGGACTACAGCATCCCAATGTAGGGCTGAAGTTATTTTTCTGAGTGATTGTTGTGGCCTGAGGACATGTCAGAATTAACTCTGTGGCTCCAGTCTGACCAAGAGAGTTCCAGCTTCAGTAATTTGTTTGTTGTCAAGAATTTCTAAGATTCTACTGCTCTTCTGATGCCATATCTGCATTTTGATCTTCATGTGCTCTTTCGTAGCTATCCAGCAGGCAGGTAGAATCTGCTTAATCTGAAAAAAAAAAAAAGATACTTATAAAGAAAGACTTATGAAAAGAATCTGCAAAATCTTACCTATAATTGGCCAGAGAAGAAAGAACGTGTATTACGTTATACAAGTGAACTATGCTTTTGCCTTGATACTGATTATAAGGTTGCCTTTTCTCCAGGGCCTCTGTTTCAGCTATTCTAGAATACTATTTAGAATTGAAGTTCAGTGATTTGCTGCTCAGCTCTGTGAAAATGCATCTAACTGATATGCTAGCTATTAGTGATAAGGTGGTGTGCCATACTCTGCCTGACGATGGTCCTGAAGTTTTTGAAGTATTTGACTGAAGTGTCTTTTTCAATTTAGAGAACAAGTGCATAGTGACTCCTGAGCCTAATCAGTCTGATAAATCTGTTTAGAACAAATGCCCTTATTCAAGCATCGTCTGTCTGTGAAGTTAATCTTTCTGGTGGGATTTGTTTTGTCAGGAAGGCTTGAAAGATTTGTGCACTTGAATAGTGGTCTGTTATGACTTGTGACCTTATCCCGAGTTTTTGTCTAGGGCTAGGGCAAAAGTCTGTAGCAACCATGAAATCCACCACGTTAGGTCTTTTCCCAAATTGTGCGAGTGGGGAGTTGTTTGCTTGTCTCAGAATAGCATATGCGAGAGGTTTAGGCTCGCTTCACCTTAGTGATCCTTATTTCCGCAGGATTAGCGTAGAAATTCATGGTAGTTTGTGCCTCATAGGTCTTTCAAATATGGTACTAATCTCCACACTGGGATCCATTCCAAGTTAACATCAAACTGTCTGTCTGCTCCAGAACTAAAAGAGTAGTTCCACCAACAGTGATGAGAACCCTAGATTATATTATTGCCTCTCTTTTTGAAATCTATTCCAGATGATTCAGAGCTGGCCCTCTTCTCAAACCTAATGCTGTTATTTTTCTAGTTACTGTTCATGTATGTCTCTGAGACCAGCCTAAAGGTGGACCAGCAATAGCACAAGACAAACAGTAAAAAGAGAGAAGGTATTTGTCACTCACATGTGCGTGCGCACACATTAGAATTTTTTTTTAGGTGTGACGTTTGTATCTCTTCTACGTTCTGCCATCTCTCCGCTTATTATGAATCTGTAGCATTTGTGTTTCTGTAGGTGGAAGGAAATTAAACAAAACACAGGGTGTGTGCGTGGTGATTGGGTACCACTTGTATAAAAATCTAAGCTTGGAGTACTTGAAGTGCATATTCATCCACAATGGAATGTGCTTATGGACAAAACACTTCGAAGTAACTGCAGGCAACTTCTCTTGCTCGTTCAGGATGGGAAGACAACTTTTAGTTCTGTACAGTTCTTCTGGCTCTGTAGTGCTATGGAGAAGAGAAAATTAGTGAAAACTTGTCTTTTATAAATCAATGCTGTAAATTATTTTAACGTGCCTCATACGTGCTTTGGGAAGCTAAACTCCTGTTCTTCTTCAGCAAAAATAATGAGATTAGAAAAAAAAAAATCTGGAATGCCATGATTTTGGTTCCTCTTTTAAGAGCTTTACTGAAAAAGGAACGAGCTTCCAAAGACTCAGTTACGTTTCCCGGCACGAGTTCCTCATAGCCTAGGGAAAAAAATGCACTATAGTTTAGTCAACTGCGAGTAAGATTGTTCTTTAGTGAGAAAAGAACAAATGCTCTCAACAAATGCTTGTTTTTTATATATTGTTTAGTGTTAGCAGGATTTAGTTTTAAACTGGTATGTTATTCCCAATTCTTGTTACTTTCCTTCATATAATTAACAAATTGAAGTGACACTTTACTAATTTTTATGGATTGTTTTTTATAAGATTACTGAAAATGTATATGTGGTCACTGGGAATAAAATTTAGGTGTCTGAATATGAGACAGATTTTTGCTACTTTGCTATGTTCCCTTTTCAAAAAAAAAAAAAAAATTACGTCATAGCAATGTGGCTTTGTATAATTCTCTAGTGGCTAGATCATGTTCAGGGGGTTGCCACTTTCCCTGCTTCCAGTCGGATTTTTTTTCTAGCTCACATGTGAGGGTCATGGGATCAAAACAGGCATGTTTTCTGTTGTACCTGTAGTCAAGTTAAACACTATAACATGTTCCAAAGTGATAGTCTATTGCCGTTTCATACAAAAATGTTGAACAGTTAACAAAGTGTATGTTACCATCTATATGCGGAGCAGTGAAATTATTTTCTTGAAATATTTGCATAGCTTTAAAAAAAAAGAGGTTTGTTCTGAAGTTTTTGGGTTGTTAATTGGTGTGGAAGAGAGAAGAGCTTATAAATAAAAGTGATCATGCATCAATCACATACAGCTTCTATCACAAACAATATTCCAAAAAATGCCTCCAATATGAAAAATGATTGGATCTTGCAGAAAGTGCATAGTGATTAAATAGGAATTTTGGGGTTTTTTTAGGTATACTCTTGTCATTAAATCTATTACTAACTCCAAAAATTAGATATCTGCCTTAAAGTTTGAAATGTTATTTTTCAGAGGTTTCTAAAAAGACAAACTGGATATTGCTTTTAAATTGAGCTTATGGTTGCATTCGTTAAATTAAAAATGTATCAAGGCAGTGGTAAGAATTTCTGAAAAAGTTAAAACTGAATGGTTGCAAATACGCTACACGCTAAAATTTTACACAAGGCATTTTTTTCTAGTGACGAACTGTGTATATTCTGAATAAGTTAGAAAGGGAACATAGCACAAGAGTTCACATCTCAACAACAAAAGTCACTAAAAAATTTTGGTTCATGTAAATGAAAAGTGATAGGGATCTTTTTTTGTCTGTCTTAATGGTATGCTGAGCTGTATATAAATACTATAATACAGTAATTTATATAATGTATTATCTCATATATTGAAATAATATAGTAATAATAAAATATAAGTGGTGTAAAATGCATTGTTTCAATCTTTGTAAACATTGCGTATTTTCATTCTATGTCCCCATAAATGCACAGTTTATTGATTCAGACTTAGTTTAGATATGTGCATGAATGCTTTGCTAAAGTGGCTCTTTTTTAAAGATGTACTAATTTTTGTTTTTTTATTCCTCCACCCCCAGGGCTTCATGTTTTCCCCACATTCGTAATATATGAACTCACAGTCTTACTCTTTCTTACGCTGTCTGTGGTCATAATGAAGGTATTTTCTTTTTCTTGTCTTTCTTTTCATAATCTAAATTAATATTAGTGCTGCATGCCATAATGAAAATTCTGTGCAAGAAGTGAACATTTGATATAGCTGAGAATATTACACCCTTACTTTAAATCTGTATTTTATATATTGATAGAATACAGTTTGAAACATTCTTAGGATTTAATGAAAGGAATTTTTTTAATGTTAAAAGCCCACTACACATGGAGAAACATCTATTTGTCTAGCTGTGGACTTCTGACAAAATTATCAAGTGCTTTTGTTATAGCAAATATTACTGTTATACTGTACAGTGTACTTGTGTCTTTTTTCACCTTAAAAGAGGAGATGTATTTACTTACAAGACTACTAGTTTATTTTTATAACCAGCATTAGTGTGTCTGATGCTATGTATCTTACAATGATTATGCTGTTTTACCTATTGCACTATTCCAAAAAAAAAAAAAATAAAATATATATATATATCCACAACAACCCAAAAAATCTTTTTCAAGTTTGTCTTGGCAGTGCTTGTCCTTTCTCTGATTCTTCCAAAGAGCAGCCAGTATATCAAATGGATTGTCTCAGCAGGACTGGCACAAGTCAGTGAATTCTCTTTTGTTCTGGGAAGTAGAGCACGCAGAGCAGGGATCATATCTCGGGAGGTAAGTTATTGTATAGCTATTAGCTCTGTTTCTAGCACCTGAATAACTTACTGGGACTTTATATTGCAGTGTATTTGAAAGATACTCCAATATTGTGGCGTCTCTCAGATATTAACAAATCGAATCAGTCCATGCAAATGAAATAAATGTATGCTTGATGCATGCATGTCCCTGACAGGGTTCTTAGATAATTTTACATCCTTTCTCAGAAGAAACAACCAGCTTTTTCAGCAGTCATGGGGAAAAAAATACCCTAGGAAAGAATCTTTACGTTTAGTTTTATTTCCAAGTTGTCAGAACCTTGTTTTCTCAAGACGAAGTCTGCTTTGCAAATTGAAGTAAATCACATCCTCGCAGATGTAACAACTCACCTCACTTTCTAGTGCTACCTGCTTTCTTCTCTGTACCTTTGCTCACACACAAAAAAAAAAACCCACCTCACTGGCTATCTGAGCTTTTCATTGTGTGAGCAGTAGGATATATATAATGCTAGAACCAATTCCAAACAAAGCACGTATGGAAAACTTACACAACGTTGTTCACTTGTACATGTTTAGATGATTAATTTTCTTGTTTACTCCTGCATGTCATTAGAACTTACAAATATTGTGTGTTTGTACAGAGTTTCAAGATACCCAACCACGTTTCACAGAGTCAGTTTGGGGGCCGCTGTACTTGAAGACCTTTAGGCTTTCATTTTTCATGTAGCTGTTCTTCTGTCGTTATCTATTGTATAGTTTTGTATAGCTCTGAAATTTCCAAAAACTGCTTTTCTGTTTGACACCTCAGAACTACTTTCATCAAACTTGCACTTTAAAGCCCCTCCCTACTGCTGTCATATAAAGCTGTTTCAGAAAATATAGCTAAGATCTTATTTCAGAAGATGTGTAGTATGGCTCTGAGTTTTGTTTTGTTTAAGTGTGTAAGATGGTAGTGCACACTTCCACTCTACCAATAAACCATTTTTTCCATTTGTTTGTTTTTCATATATATAGAAAATTAAGTGGTTCTTGACCTTCCAGTGCTCCTTGAGCTTTCAAAACTGACCTCTTAACTATGCCTGTAAATAATTGTCTTTATATAAGCTAATAGCATCGTTCTTAAAATTACATGTTCAAAACAGGTAAACCTATAATTACATGATTTGTGTGTGCACTTGCTTACTTCAGTAACAAAATGCGCAGCTGGTCAGGAGGACAGGTGAAGTCTCTTGGAAATACTGTCCAGAAAAGTCTGATTGCATCAACTCCTAGTTGTTTCTTAGCTCACCACGTAACTGGGGAGAGAAGTAATGGCTTTTTTCATTTCCAATTTTCAGGTCTATCTCCTTATTTTGAGTGTGACTACTCTAAGCCTTTTACTTGCCCCAGCCCTGTGGAGAGCCGCAATTACGAAATGCGTTCCAAGACCTGAAAGACGCTCAAGTACTTGATAAGACTTGCACGTGTACAAGAGTTCATGTTTTTGCAAAGAATATCTTCATTGCTCATTGTATTTCTATGCACTCAAAAAAACAAGAGGGTTTGAGTAGTCCTCTTAACATGTACTTGGTTATAAGCCTTATATACTGATCTTTTAAAAAAAACAAAAAACAAACCCCCTGATATTTGAATTAAACATCTCTTACAAAATTGACTTTCTTTCTGGCAGATTAAAATGGGCCAGAATATTTGTTTCTGATCCAATGAATTATGCAGAGTAGATATATATATATTTTTAAATACAGTATCATGCAAATTGCATTGAGTATTTTTTTTTGCCTGGATGTGCCTTTTAATTTTCATCTGGCTTTGTTACTATTTGTTCATCACCAGATTTTGTTTTTTAAACAAATATAGATAAATATATATATACCCCCATGCATACATACATATATATATATATTATGGTGCCTATGGTATCTTCTTATACTGTAAATTACTTGAGTCATTTTGACATTTGAGAGTTCAGTACACTGGTGTAAATTTGGTCACAAAACACATTTCCAATGGTGAGTAAAAGTCTAATCCTTTACACAAGGAAAAGGTTTAACTCTGTTAGCATCAAACTATTTTAAGCAGTAAATACATATTCCAAATGGTACAGCCGATATTGTGTGATATTTCTTCCAGTTTACCATATATCATATTTTCTTGCAGTGATAACTTTCACTTGTGTTAGTTCTTGTATTTATTTACATATTTGACCATGCTGATGGTGAGAAAAGGCATAACTTAAGTTATATTTGAAGACTGACAGTTGTTACCCGTTCTTGTTGCTAACTACTGTTATCCTAATTGTTTACAGTTTTCTTTCTGTGCTTAAACTGAAAATAAAATTGGTAAAACTGGGAAGTCTAATTTCAAGCAGATGTGACAAACATTTATCAGTTCTCTGACTCTGGAGGTTGGATTGTAATTGAAATTATTTTAAGTAAATTTGCACAAAACTGAAAAAGGCTGATTAGACGTGCATTGGGACCTCTACGTTTTTATACTTTGTATTTACAAATACAGCAGAGTAAGCCTTGTAAAGAGCCCGTTATTTATGTCGTAGAAAGAGTTCGTTCACTCTAGCCTACTCTGACAAACAAGTAAAAATTGTTTCGAATTTTGTTTCCAACAATGCTATTAGCAATTTATTGACAGCTTAGGTCAGTATTCTATTGTAGTATGAAATAACTTTAGTATGCACAAAATGGTTAGAAAAATGAATGCTGTAGGTTTAAATTACCAATTAAAAGGAGAGAAGTTGTCCTCTGAGCAGTGGAACTAACAAAGGCTTGTTTCCTACGGATTTGTATGCTTCAAAGTGTGTGTGTTTCCCCCCCCCCACCAAAGTAGCCTCAGTGTCCTCCTGTGTTTTGTCTGACATCTGCTGGGCTTGGCAAAATACAGTTTGGGCTAGTCTAGAGCTTGTACATACTGCTAGGCCAGTTGGCCCCTGCAAGGCAGGGTGCACAGTAGTTGAGTTCTTGTTCTTCACTGGATTTGGGGCCTGCCTTTCCTGGCACTGATTCTTCATAAAAACTTGCAGGCATGCATGACAATTTCACCTCTCCTTGAATGGTTTCAGAAGTTATTGGGGAGGAGTGACAAATACAGATAAATTATTTTATTTGGTAGCTTTTTGATTAAAAAAGGAATCTTTAACAGAAAAGGAATTTGAAAACTGCTCTATTTGTTTATTTCAATGTTTAGTATTCAAATTATAGAAGCAATTCAACAGCTTTATTGTACAGTTTAACACTCTACTATCTCAAACCTTTTATTTTGCTTAAGCTGCCTCATTAAAATTTCATTTTGTTTCTTAACTGTATGAGGTAGAGAAGTCTTGCTCTGTCCACTGACACAGCTTATCATCAGGCATCCCTTCTTGAAATACAGCCTTCTCTCCTTAATGCCCCATCTTGGTTCTGAAAGACATGCATCTTGCATATACTGTTTGTTGGCCACAATCCATATTTACACCACCTACATTTCAGAAGAAAGCAGTCTAATTAATGTCACCTCACATTGGATTGCTCCGTTCTTTACATATTCTTAGAGCTGACCATGATAGACACCTGTGCGTGGTTTCTGTTATGTCTTTTAGTCAGTTAGCCCTTGAAGCTATTATAGAAATTATTAACAACTGTGATGACTAAACCTTTACCTAAATGAATTAAATTGATGTGGCTAGTTCTCTTACTTCTCTGGAAAGCTCCTGTTAGGAGATGAGGAAAATATTGATGGTTTATGTCTTTAAGAGAGAAAAAATATATTCTGATTACCTTGTGAAGGAGTTGGGTGAAGAGTCTTTTTGGTACCAGGTCCAAAATGGAGAGCAAGATATAGATACCCTGTTGGTTGCCTCCTATCTGTCACTTGTTTCCTGGATAATTTTTGACCTTGCCATGACTCGGCTAGTTTTTCTGAGAACTGGGGAAAGGGCAATAGGAGCCTTATGTGAGTATCAATACTCTGTGCTTCTTTGGGCTGACTGGATACTAGATATAACTCAATCTAAAATCCCGATTGCTAACCTTATCCGACACATTTTAAGTTTGTTGGCAATTAGATCTGTGAAGATGTCTGTTAGAAAGGTGGAGTGCATTTAAAGTGGTGTAAATACTTCCTGAAACGCAGGTAATGCCTTCATGCATAATTCTATGTCAAAATCGGACACTCTCATGATAAAAATCTTAGGATAGAAGCAACAGACGTTGTTCCTCAAAGATCTGATGTGCCTGTATGGAAAATGGGAAGAATATTTCACAACTGGTCCATGTAGATGCAGTTGCAGCTTTTTAGGAACTTACACTTGTACTCCAAAATACTTGTGGTCTCCCCCGCCCCGTGTTGAGGAGATATAAATAAAGCAGAGACCTAGAACGCCTGTAAGTAAAATCTCATGATTTTATAAAGGCTTGTTGAAGAACAGGTGGTCTTTTCTGGAAATTTTTGTTTCAGCTTGTTGGCTGATATCTGTCTCATTCTTTTACCTAATGATCAGTATTGTTTGAATACAGAAAAGCTGATGGAGGGTAGAACCTTTGTCTTTGCTGGTGATGAGTGGTTATTTCTGTGGTGAAGTGAGCTTAAGTGAGTAGAAAGGAAGGGTCTGTTCTGTATGCGAGTGGCAACTTGTTCAGCATATGTGATTTATTTATTATTTCTTTTGGCGGAGGGGAGTGTAACTGGTTGCTTGCTTTATGCATCTCAGTTTGTTTCAGGGACTGTAGCTTTCTGTCTGAGAACTGGAGTTCTTACCCGCTTGATTGCTGCTTTAGTCATTGTTGCCCATGAAGGAGAAGGAACCAAGCAGTTTAAATATTCATAGCATGGACTGTACTTATACTTAGATTCCTTTTCCTATTCCCAGGGTCAGGCTGGTATGTATTGACGCACAACCACCCTACTTACAGCTCACCCCATCTAAGCAGGCTCTGCTTCAGTCTCTCAAAAGGAAAACTCTGAGAGGTGGGAGGCAGGTTTTTGGCAATTGTCACTTGCATGGGCCTAGGATAGCTCAAGGAATGCTGCCATAATGACATAGTCCATGGGACTTCCCTAACTTTGTAAAGTTTTTAAGAATTCATGTATTTTTTTAATAGTTGTTAAAGATGATGAGAAAGCAGCTTCATGGTTCCTTTTTTTTTGCCTTTTTTTTTTTTTTAAACAGTTGGACGCTCTCTGCTTTGTGGGTGGGGGGGAAGGGGGCAGCTATAGCATAAAGGAATAGTATTATATGATGAGGTTTGATAGAGGGAATGAGAAGTCTTATTGCCTGTTGGACTGAATCCAGGAGCAGTCTAACCTCAGAATCACTCGTGGCTTTTGTCTAGGGAAAG